TTATAGTTTTTTTGTGTTTTTTAAAAATATATTTTATTGATTATGCTATTACAGTTGTCCCATTTCTCCCTTCATTCCCCTCTACTCTGTACACCCCCTCCCACCCACATTCACCCACTTTAGTTCATGTCCATGTGTCATACTTATAAGTTCTTTAGCTTCTACATTTCCCTTACTATTCTTACCCTCCCCCTGTCTATTTTCTACCTACCATCTATGCTACATATTCTCTGTACCTTTTCCCCTTCTCTCCTCCTCCCAGTCTCCTGTTGATAACCCTCCATGTGATCTCTATTTCTGTGGTTCTGTTCCTGTTCTAGTTGTTTGCTTAGTTTGTCTTTGTTTTAGGTGTGGTTGTTAATAATTGTGAGTTTGCTGTCATTTTATTACACATGTTTTTTATTTTTTTTTCTTAGATAAGTCCCTTTAACATTTCATATAATAAGGGCTTGGTGATGATGAACTCCTTTAACATGACCTTATCTGAGAAGCACTTTATCTGCCCTTCCACTCTAATTTAAAGCTTTGCCGGATAGAGCAATCTTGGATGTAGGTCCTTGCCTTTCATGAATTGGAATACTTCTTTCCAGCCCCTTCTTACCTGTAAGGTCTCTTTGGAGAAATCAGCTGACCGTCTGATGGGAACTCCTTTATAGGTAACTGCCTCCTTATCTCTTGCTGCTTCTAGGATTCTCTCTTTATCTTTAATCTTGGGTGATGTAATTAAGATGTGCCTTGGTGTGTGTTTCCTTGGATCCAACTTCTTTGGGACTCTCTGAGCTTCCTGGACTTCCTGGAAATAGACTTCCTGGCAGTCTATTTCCTTTGCCACATTGGTAAAGTTTTTCTTTATTATTTGTTCAAATAACTTTCCCACTTGTTGCTCTTCCTCTTCTCTTTCTGGTACCCCTAAAATTCAGATGTTGGCATGTTTAAAGATGTCTGGAGGTTCCTAAGCCTCTCCTCATTTTTCTAAATTCTTGTTTCTTCATTCTTTTCTGATTGGATATTTCTTTCTTCCTTCTGGTCCACTCCATTGATTTAAGTCCCAGTTTCCTTCACATCACTATTGTTTCCCTGTATATTTTTCTTTATTTCAGTTAGTGTAGCCTCCATTTTTTCATCTAATTTGTGACCAAATTCAACCAATCCTGTGAGCACCCTGATTACCAGTGTTTTGAACTGTGCATCTGATAGGCTGGCTATCTCTTTGTCGCTTAGTTGTATTTTTTCTGAAGCTTTGATCTATTTTTTCATTCGGGCCATTTCTTTTTTTTGTCTTGATGCACCTGTTATGGAGTGAGGGGTGGAGGCTTAGGTGTTCACCAGGGCAGGTCAAAGCAGTTGCTGGGTTGTGATGTTGTAGGGGGGGCAGGAGTCAGAGAGGGAACAATGCTGCTTGCTCTGCTCTCTGCTGGATTTCAGTCCCTTCTGCTACTTCCCCCAAGCACACTGGGCCCTTTTGGTGCTGATTCCTGGGTGGGTGGGCTTGTGTATATTCTAGGCTGCTGTGAGTTTCTCCCAGCACCTCAATCCCCAGAGGTGTTTTCAATTGATGTTTTGAGGCTTTATGTCTCTGCGCTGGAACCATCTGTCTTACTCCCCAGTTTTGCTTGGTTTATCTGTATGCAAATGTCGGACTGCTTGGTTTGCCAGCTGCCTTGTGCACCACACCCCTCCACATCCTTCCACCTCACTGGGTCCACCCGCTGCTGCCTTGAGTGCCTGGGATCCACCAGCTGCTGCCTTGAACCAGGGGTCCACCAGTTACAGCTTTGCCTGGAGTCCTCTCTGCCCCACCACCCAACTCTGCCCCTCCTAATGGTCTGAATGGATGTTTCTTCCTTAACTCCTTGGTTGTCGGACTTCCATACAGTTTGGATTTTCTGCCAGTACTGTTTGTTTGTTTGTTTGTTTGTTTGTTTGTTTGTTTGTTTCTAAATTGTTGTTGTCCTTATTTTGGTTTTGCTAAGAGGCACAGCGTATCTACCTATGCCTCCATCTTGGCCAAAAGTCTTCTTTTGTATTTTTTATGTCTGCTTTTGATTTTAGGGTAATATTAACTCGACAGAATGAGTATTTCTTCTGCTTCTATCTTCTAAATGAAATTGTTAAAGACTTGGTACAATTTCTTCTTTAAATATTTGGTAGAGTCCACCAGTGAACCCATCTGGCTCTGGTGTTTCCTATCTTAGAAGATTATTAATTATTGATTCAGTCTTTTAAATAGATATATTTATTCAGATTGTCTATTTCCTATTCTAAGAGTTTGGTAGATTGTGTCTTTCAAGGAACTGGTCCATTTTTTCGAAGTTTTCAAATTTGAAGGCACAGATTTGTTTATAATATATTTTATAATCCTTTTAATGTCCATGAGACCTATAGTGATAACCATTTTTTAATTTCTGATTTTAGCCATCTGTGTGCTCTCCCTCTTTTTCTTAGTTTGCCTGGTTAAAGGCTTATTGATTTTAGTTTTTCAAAGAACTGGCTTTACAGATCATTGTTTTTCTCTATTGATTTCTCATTTTAATTTCGTTGATTTCTGTTCTAACTTAAAAAAAATTGTTTTTAATCCTCATCTGAGGACATTTTTTTTCATTGCTTTTAGAGAGAGGAAGGGCTGGAGAGAGAGAGAGAGAGGGAGAGAGAGAGAGAGAGGGAGAGAGAGAGAGAGAGAGAGAGAGAGAGAGAGAGAGAGAGAGAGGAAGATTGATGTGCAAGAGAAACATTAATCAGTTGCTTTTTCCTATGCACCCTGATTGGGCATTGAACCCACAACCCAGGCATGTGTCCCAACAAGGAATTAAATCTATGACCTCTCAGTTCATGAGATGATGCTCCAACCAATTGAACCACACCAGGGAGGGCTGTGCTCTAACTTTTATTATTTGTTTATTCTGTTTACTTTGGTCTTGATTTGCTCTTCTTTTTCTAGTTTTTAGGGTGTAAGCTTAGATCACTTTCAAACCTTTCTTCTTTTCCAATATATGCATATTTTAGTCAAGTCTTCTACAGCCCGACAAAACAAAGGTTTTTTTCTTCATTTTTGCTTCCTCTTTGCAATATAGAGTCTCACAGTTGTTTGGGGTAACATTCTGTCTGTCATAGCCACAGCAGAATCCTTCCAGATACCTGGAGAAGTTTGCTCTAGGTTTGTCTGGGCTACTGGGTGATTTTAATCAGCCATTAGTATTTCTGGCACATGGCAGGTGGGTACACAGAGAGAGCTCTGTTGGTGGCAAGTTCTTTGGGAAGGAGCCAGACCCAGGTTTCACTGAGTGTTTATGGGAAAAAAGTGAACTAACCTATTTCTTTAGGCAGTAATTTTATAACTTACCTCTTTTGTGTGCCTGTGGTTTCATGTGTGTTTCTGTTAGCCAGTCCAAATACTCCAAAAACACTGACTAATTGTTCTCCTCTTGGGTAGCATGTTAGAATCATGGATGTAGTGTAAAACACATTGGTGTCTGGGCCCCATCTCAAGCTCCTGATAGAGTTGGTCTTGGTGGAGTTTACCAAAGCTCCTTATACATGAACCTATGTTGAGACTGCTATCCCAGACACTTTCCTGTCATAAATTCTCCTTAATCTACTCCTGCTGCCCCAGATTTACCTTAGTGTTAATTGTTAAGAAGTGAGAATAAGGAGTCAATGTCAAGTCAACACACTGACAATATTATTCTCAAGCTGAGCTAGATACTCCCAGCTTCCAAGGAAGGGCTGACCTGCCCACGTCACTCAGGTGGTGTTTCTGGGCTGGGAATTCTAAGGTGCTCCAGGAAGATTAAACAATCTCAGTGGAAAGATGCCAGAAAGTTCTGCAAAAAAGTTCCTTTCTGAATGTGTCAATGATATTACATCTTTAATGAGGCTTAATACTGACAAGCCAAGCTTGGAAGGTCTCTTCCCTCTGGTGCTTATAGAGATGGGTGGAGAAGTGGTCAGCCTCAGAACTGGATCCTAGGAGAGGAAGACATCCCAATTTCAAAGTTTTTGCTATTGCCTTTGGCTGCTAATTGGTAGAGCCCAGAGCATATGGCTTGGGCAGGGGTTTCTGATATGTACACCTAGAGCATAGATTTGGGGTAGAAGTGAGATCTGGGGCTGAAGGCCCAGAGAACAATGCCCCACTGGTGAGATTATGGAGGGGGAGAGATCAGATTGGCTACCTTAGAGAAGGAAGGAGAGATTAAGAGCGTGGGAAAAGGAGAATATTAAGACAAGTAGGTCAATAGAAAAATAAACATGTCTTTGGAGTCCCTGAGGGAGGGGTGAGAGATAGCTGGTTGCTACAATAGAGAGATGGGCTCCCAGCAATAAGTTAGAGAGAGAGGTCAGGGCACCCAGGAATTCCAGACCCACCATGAGGGCCATCTAAAGGCCTGGAGGGTGAATGGGCGTGGCCAGGCACAAGCTCCTTGCCTCATCTCCAACTCATTTTCATAGAAGCAGGTCCCAGGGGGCTGTATTCAGAGTTTGCTAGGAGATTGCTCTTGGCCAGGCTTTGTACTGCCTTCATCAAGTGTGGTCTGTACCCAGGGTGTGCCAGCTCAGTGTGTGTGTATGTGTGTGTGGTGGTGGCCCTCAGGGATAGGTATGCAAAAGCCTGCAGGTGGGAAGGCATGGGAGCCTCCAGATCTCAGTGAGTGGTACAGGATAGCTAGACCAAGGTTTCTGTGGTGGACCCTATGAGATCAGGAGGAAAGTAGGGAAGGGAAGGCTGGTAGGGAGCTGGGGATCTCACCATGGCACCTGGTAGAGGAAGGTGGGGGAGGCTGTGGTTTAGTCCCAGAGGGGTGGACAGATGAGCAGACTGAATAGACTGGTCAACATCAGTGACAACGGATTTTGCATACACCATCTCTGAGAGTGTGGAGTGCCCCCAGACCCCTGGGAAGTAACCCTCCAGTTCAGATGATCTGGCTGACACCAAGCAAGGTGTGTTCTTTTATTTCTACCTGTGGGTGATACTAACTTTTCTTCCATATCCTTCACAGATCCGGACAAAAGACAAGATCTTTGACAGCATCAGCCACCTCATCAATCACCACCTGGAGAACAGCCTGCCCATCGTCTCCTCTGGGAGTGAGCTATGCCTCCAGCAGCCTGTGGAGAAGAACCTGTGACCAGCCAGAAGCCCTGTCTTGACACTGCTCCATGGTCAGGACTCAGTTCTTTCTGGTAGATGTGTATCAGGCAATAGGAACTCAGGCAGCTGCTCACGGGCTTAGAGCCTTATTCCAAAGCCCTAGGAGGAAAGTATGTGTAAAGTGCAGGGTTCATAAACTTCTTCCTATTTCTCATGTGTGTAGTGAAGGTGTAAATACCTATACATCCTGTACAAATGATCCCTCTATATTTCTACTTTTTAATACTAAGAAAGAGGTAAGACTAATGTTCTGTGCTGTATGTTTTTAATGAAAAAATGTTTGACTGTAGTTGTCTGGGCAAAACTTTAATTAAGCTGACCCATTCCACTGGGAAAGTCCACTAAGAAGGTTTTATCTGAAGTTTACCTAATAAGCACAAAATGGGGAGCAAGTAGAAGCAAGCAGGAGAGTTGGTAATTGACACAGGGTTGTAATAGAATCAGACAAGATGCTACCCAAAGAGGTCTAGGTCTGCATGCAAAGCAGTGTTCTGGTGGTTCTGATGGCTGCCCCTCCTCCTCTAAGATGCCTCCTGGGCTGTCTGCATCACACCTGAGTGTATGAGGGTATCCAGCACCAGAGGGCTCCTATAACTACTCTAAGGAGCAGGTGTCACATCAGCTGTTTTGAGTCATGCTGAGCCCAGGAATGCTGTCCCCCATGACCTAGGTTGTCCAGGGCTTCTTGGGAATGCATTTTACTGTCAAATATGGTATAAAATAAACCTCACTAATGAAGATTAGTGAAAATAAGCCTCAAAATGAGGTGGTTTGGCAATGCATTGGTTTGCACGTCTTTCTGGTAGACCAGTTCATTCCAGGCTGCTTCAGTAGCTGTTGGTAAAGTTGCCCCTCATCTTCTTACATTCAGTAGAGAAAAAAAGCACGTGTATGAACTGTGCCAAACAGGGCACACACATGCTCTCAGTTCTGTCTGGAGACACTGTCATCAGCCAGTTATTTCTCCTGGGCCCATCCTTGCCTGAAGCTGGGCACTTGTGAGAATCAATTTGAAAATCTTCTGGAGTGATTGGTGGGTAAGGCGACTGATTATCTCTACAACAGGATTCCCAGTAGCTCCATGTAAAGGTGTGTGCCCCATGCAGTGCTGAGTGTTGGCTCCTTTCTTTGAGATAAAATACTGTAATTTCCTGCTGGATCTTTTGGTGTTGGGAAGGTGATAATATTTATGACCTTTAAAATATACCTGGGATGAGGCCACTGTGTGACTGAACAAATGTCTGTTAAAAGATAGAAGGATTCATTTGTGTGCAGGCACCTTGTCACTGGTGCTGCCATGCTGGCCCCTGTCCCAGAGACATCCCAGAGCATGCCCACCTCCTTGATCAGTGCAGCACAGAGATGCTCCCTACACAGGAGTTAAGGGTAGATTTAAACAATTCTGAAGAGTACTAATTCTGTAAAATTCCTGTGTATGAAGCCCATTTCCATTTTTGGAGATTTGTGGCCAGGGCGGGAGGGTGAGATATAGTTGATGGGAAGGATGGGTCAGAGCAAGGTCAAGACTGAGTATATAGACTTTGGAGATTTTGCTCTTTGAGGTTCCAGTGAATTCAAGGTGACAGTGGCTCCAATCTTCTAGAGTGTTCCACAATGGATTGGAACTAATCTAGGCCACTCTGCTGCTTCCTGGAATGATTCCAGGTGCAGTGCAGATGCCCTGCTCCAAATTACCTAGAACATGGGGTCTGAATGGGAACAGCAGCTGGCCCTGCCTCCTGCCCTGTGACAACACAGAGTTTGGGGTGGTGGTGATAACGGCCCTGTGCTCCCTTTCTAGAGGCCTGTGGATGCTCATACTCATCTGAGCTCCATGAGGAAGCATGAGCCTTCTCTGTGTATGGAATACACACATGTAAAAACAGACAAAATAGCTTTCTTTTCTACAATCTTGCATGCCCCACTTGCAAGGCTGCAGTGCTAGTGTGACAGGGCAAGAGCAAGTAGGCAGGGAGAGTTACAAACCATGAGCTCCTGAACACTTGACCTGTTTTACTTCTCCTCTTGGAAACCTGCAGTTTAAGTGGCTCTCTGCTCTGAAGTCACTGTTTATCTCCACAATAAGCAATGTGTGTGTGTGTGTGTGTGTGTACACATATATGTGGTGGTTTTTTTTTTTTTTTGCATGAGAATCAATTTAGAAAATTAAAAGTATTTGGAGACCAAAGTCTGTTTCAATATGAACTCAAAATATGCCTTTTAAAGCTCAGATTATAAGGTTGCTTACAATGAACAGAGACACAGGGGAGCAAATTTGAGATATGGCAGATGGCCGTGATTTTCCTGTCTTTGCTCGCTCCATTTGTAAAGCTTGTTAGAGCTCACATGACTCATCTCATTTCTTCCTTCAGGCAGGTGTGATGGGCATAAATGTGAGCCTCACTCATAGACAGGGAAACTGAAGCTCCAACTCATTCAAGACCTCATGATTGGTGAACAGCAGAGCTATTCTGCCTATTCCTCGTCTCTCCATCTCTGCTGAGCTTGGAGCTCAAGACTTGGAGGCAGATGTGATGGGGCCTCCTCCCTGTCCAGAATGGGTCCTTCCTCCAGCAGTTTCTCCAACTGTGTCCCTGCCTGTGCAAAGGCAGGAAGAGCAGCACTGGGTGAGTGTTACAGCACTCCTGATGCCCAGGGCACATATGTTGTGGCTGTGCAGAGCCACGCTTGACCCACAGGATGCTTCAAGCATACTGCCTCTCTCATGGGACCCCTGCCACTCAACCCAGGCCTCTGTGTCTGCTGGAAGCACAAGACAGCAGTCCTAAAATGTCCTAGCTTGTGGAATGGCCCTGGAACCCCCTATCCATCTCCCCTCCCACCTGCACCATCCTTTATGAATTATCAGTGCTTCAGATTGCATTCTGGTCTTACTGAGATCCTGTGAGGCCTCCTATGAGGTCATTCATCTCTGGTTTAAGTCAACTTTGATGCTTGACTACCAAGGACACCCTGAATATCTCAGTGGGCAGGCTGATAAACAGTGCATCAAGACAACTGCCAGTCTACATCCTGTGCCTAAGCTACTGCTTCTGGCCATTTTTTTTTATCTGAGAGACCAAACGACCAGTTTGCACTGAGTCTTGACTCATGTTTCACTTGAGCAACAATTCTGTTTAAGCCCATCTTGATGTTGGGATAAATGAACAAAGACCCAACTGGGAAACATATGGTGTCTTGAGGGTTTCCTGGTGGAAAAGGTCATCACCGATAATTTCCAACGAGAACAGAGAGTGACAAGCCATGTGTGGGGGAAAAGACATGTAAAGCAAGAGCAGACCTGGGGTCAGGACAGCACTTTGTGTGGCTCCCTGTAAAGGCCCTCAGGCTCAGGGACACTGTTTTCTGACTCTGTGCCTGTTTTGGGGTCTTGATGGGGCTGAAGAATTTGCATTTCTAATAAATTGTGAGTGATGCTGGTGGGCATTCTAGGCTTTGAGAACCACCATTGTGAGTTTCCAGACGTGTATATCCCTTATTGATGGCTTCCCCCCTCTATGATTATTCAGGGTGAGGCAAAAGTAGATCTACAGTTGTTTGTATGGAAAATAATACAATAATTAATAAATGATAATACAAGAATACATTGTTTTACATACAACTGTAAACCTACTTTTGCCCCACCCTGTGTTTTCATGCTACTTCATGTCATAGTTCCAAGGGTCCATGCTGTGAGTGTAAAAGTGGAAGATTAATAATTAGCATTTATAACTTGATTCAATCATTGCTGGAAGATAAAATGCCACCAGCCAGCCACAGTTTATTTATGAGATTTATACATATTTGTAAGTTTGCAAGCAACATCATAAATAGTTTTAAAACAAGCACATATAGCAGCCAGAAAAATTGCAACTTCATACGAAGATTTGTGAATGTCAGTCACATATGTGTAGCTACACATACATGTACCTGCATTGTTTGATGGGTGTGCATCTGTCTGTGTGCACATGAAGGTTGGTTGTGCAGTTTGCACCTTGAGACTTCCCCCTGGGTTTTGATATTTTGGTTAAAAAAGACAAGTAGGAAGCTAAACAAATGTTAAGAGTTTGGGGACTGACGTGTCCTGGCATTCACAGACATCTGGAGGAGGGTCCTGGGTATTGCATAAAAAAGACAGGAAGGGCCCACTGTGGAAAATGACAGAGGAACATGAAGGAAAAGAGGCCAGCAAGGAAGATAAGGAGAAGAGAGGACCAGAGGGTAGAGGAGGATAAGGTAAAAAGGAGGAGGTATACAATCAACTCCAGACTAATGACCTATATCTATCCGGCAGTGTGCAGTGTCTGTGGGAGGCCAGTGAGGAAGGACAAGCACAGTCAGGCATGGTAGAGGCTGTCCTCAACACAGTGTTCTATGAGGGGCAGGGAGCAGCTGTATATTTATTTGTCACCACTTCTCAGCATTTCTATCCAGTCTGCTCTTGGTCTTGTCTGTACAGTAGTTCACACGTGGCAGGCACTGTGCTGGGCTCCTGGGATAAAGAAGTGAATGATGGGGGTTCTGCCTGTCTGAGAGTGTAATCCAGTAGGTAGTACACATGCATAGGGTGTTGGTGTGACAAGCCTGATGGTGTTGTGGCCGAGTCCAATAGTACTGTGGAGACTGGAGCTCCTGGGTGGACCTGGAGAGTCTGAAGGCCTTGTAAACTGAAGGGCAGGTGAGACATGATCATGAATACAGGAAGAAAAGGCCTGGAGATCCAGGAGTAGGTAGCACACCCTCACACAGGCACAATGGCTGGTGTTAGCAGGGGTGTTGGGCCTGTGTCAGGAGGTGAAGCTGCTGTCACTTCTCTCTTCCTTTCTGTGTTCACAGAGGCCCCAAATAAATGAATCCCTCAAGCCCCGCAAAACATACTGCTTCCTCCTGGGGGGCTAGAAGAGCCATTCTCACATGGGAAATGAAATCTCAGTTTAAGTTCCTATTTTGTTGTGTCACCTTGAAATACTACAAGTAGAAAATTTAGCATGTTGGAACACATACTGTTGTCCTGAGGGGTGAGGTGATTCTTTCAGGTTTACCTGGGACATGCCACCACGCCAAGAGGTTCTAACCACCAAATCAAGAGATTTAAAGCAAAAATCAATGGGAAAAATCTATCCTTTAAGTTGAATTACCTGGTAACAACTCTGTGTGGACTGCAAATGGAATGTTCTCTGTTCATTTGACTTTTGAATATAACTTGTTCTAGAATAAATATTGTAAAATTAAGTGTGTGAATGTTTGTACTCAGATTTAAACAAGAATTAAACATTTGATCTTTAAATCCAAGGATTAGGTAAGAACTTCACATAAATTTAATGTGTAATAAGATATTTATTACTTTTTTAAAAAGCATTTGGATGACAAATTATACATATTGATAAATATTATTTTAAAATGTTGTGTTTGGTTTTCCACTAACTTTTGAGAAACAAAAAAGAATTATTGTAAAGTTGTCTGTCTGGGTTTATTGCCAATTCACCACTTTCTACTTTGATATTGTAACAGAATGGGCCTTTGGAAATCTCCAAGGAGTGGAAATACAGAAGTGATTTCAAGTTTTGTAATCTCTGCTCCATGAAAAATGATAACACTGAAGTTATTTGGCTGATATTTGGGAGATTTGGCAATCCAACAGGGAAGAAAATTGGCTTAAATTCTCTCCTCACCTTCTGAGAACCCACTTTACTTCTTTAGGAAGTTATGTGATTTCCAGTTGCAGACCCTTGATGATGCACTTAGCACATCCCTGTACCTCTGATGTAGCCTAGTATGGGGGCTTCTTGGCATCCCCAGGTGTCATCATTGTGTCCCAACAGGGAGGTTGTCAGCAATGTATGCAATGCTGCACTTATCATTGATTATCAGAAAATGTGCCTTCATTTTCATAATAGTGGTGTGTGCATTTCTAACTATGTAGCAAACCCTTTGATCTCTGGCTTAGATACTAAAACATTGCGTTGAGGTTTTGCACTCCTAGAAATTTAAAAGCATGGACTTGGTAACTTATTTAGAAGTTTTCTATAAAATACACCTTGTTACATTTCTGTGAAAAGCTTTTTGTCAGTGCAGTATAACCATGGGTCAAAGGTTGAGATAACAGCTGTTTTCTATATCATCCATTGTTTAAATGACTGTCATTATAATTCTGTGGGCAATAAAGAATATCGTGGAAAGTCTCTCATGCAGATGGTGGATCTTGTATTGCCTCAACAGGGAAAAAGGGAATTTGAAACCTTTGCACAAAAAGCAGATACTCTCAGTGATTCTCCAGGAGACTTCTTAATTGGCCAAGGGTGTGAAGAGAAAGTGGCAGGAGGGCAGAAGAGTACCTGAGGGGACTTATGTTCACTGATAGGCCCTGCACAGAATCAGAGATGACAGAAGGCTTGGTCCTTGGTTGTTTTGGAGAAATTCATTCATGACTGTTACCACCATGCTAGTTATGCCAAATGCTGGCATCTTTCTCTATAGAATGCAGGACATACACACACACACACATACACACACACACACACACACACACACACACACACACACTCTATCTCTCTCTCTCTAAAACTTACTGTTTATAAAGGAGAAAGCTGGGGAAAGGGCCAGTTCTGACCTCTTCTCTCCTTTTGCAAATGGAGCAGAACCAAACGTCCTATCTCTTGGCCCTACCTTGACTGCCATGGCTTCCACAATCTTGTCCCTGTCCAAGGGCACTCTATTGACCTTCTTCAAATAGGCTGACTGAACACATGATACACCAGTGGGGAGCATAGCATGGAAAGGTTGTCAGGGTTCTGAGAGTCATTTAACTTCTGAAGAGACACTGGTACCAGGTGAGAGGCCAAATGGCCACCTTACACAGCCCCCACATGGACTCCCAACAACAGTTTACATAAAAGCTTTTGGTTTTATTTTTTAATAAACATACATGGGACATAATAATGGTTACTAATTGAGTGCAATCTATGGGCAGATTCTCTGTGGCTTTGAAACACTCCACTTCTAAATGATCTCCAGCTAGCTAGAGTATACACATTGGTGTTAAAGTTGATTATTTTTGTACACATCAAATGAACATAATTACTTCTTTTGGGTATTTTTCATTCAGATTTCTTAACAGTTTTGTGTTATTTTAAAGGAAAGTTGTGGCTATAGTGCAAAGTGTCATTAATATTAACACCAGAGATCCAGGGTCTCCAAAACAACTCAAAACCAAGATAGAAAGTTCTAAAGTCATGTCATAACCTAAGCAAAATGTAATACCCAACATTTTAGCGCTCTGATGCATTTTTTCCCTTTTTTAAAAATAATTTTTAAATTTTGTTTTAGAGAGAGGGAGAGGGAAGGAGAAAGAGAGGGACAGAAACATCGACTGGTTGTCTTCTGCCTTTTGCAAGCACCCTGACAGGGGCAGAGCACACAGCCCACAACCTAGGAACGTACCCTGACTGGGAGTCAAACTGGTGACTTTTCAGTTTGCAGGGTGATACCCAACCCACTGAGCCACGTCAGCCAGTGCCTTAATGCTTAACTTTTCTAGAAATGCCCTGGGTTTTCTTAAGTTATTTGGTAAAAGAATAATCTCCTTTTCAGCGATATAAAGAATGTTACAAAAAATGCCACTGATGAACATCTTACAAATTGGATTTATCTCATCAGTAATAAAATGAGGAAAGTCTTTGGTCAGTACATGGAGATCCCCCAATACTCATGGAAATATCCCTTAATAAGAGGAATTTGCATCAGATAAAACAGGAGTCAATTTCTCTTCAAAATAGTTAATGTGTTAAGACTACTCTTTTAATATTTACTCAGGCAATGTCCTCACTGAACCTAAAAATATCAGGGGGATTCTCATGTGAGGTTCCCCAATTAAGAATCCTTTTGAAGGTTATTTGTTTTGATTTTTTTTTACAAAGAATTCAACATGTCAACTGTGTGCTTATGAGAGCTCTGCAGATATGTGCTTCTTTTCATCAGTTTGTATTCATAGAGGATCCCTGGGGAAGAGCACACACAGAAATACCTCCAGGCAGTCCCTTTAACAGAGTGACAGAGCCTGGACCTATGTTGAAAGGTAAGATTATGATATTACATATCTTTGAAGAATGCACAAACCACAAGATCACATTTTCTTTCCCAACAGTTGAACTTTTCTAATAGTGACTCTCAGGGTCAGCTTTCCAGAAGTCATGAGACAGCTGCTGGCTCCAGGTCCCCAGCTGTGACAACACAAGGCATACTGATTTAGTGCATTTCTGATAGCAAATTGAACTTAACATAGGATCAAAGTTCTGTCTTGTAAACCTATCCTAATTCAATAGACATTTTCCATTAAATATATGGCTGCTTCAAGCAACTTGGAAAGATGATGCAGGCCAGGGGTCTGTTCTTGCTTCTGTCCCAGCTGGTGGTTTGGTTTAGAACATGCTCGTGTTACTTGCTGACTGTACTGAGTACTGCAGCTTCTGCATGTGCCCATAGCAGACATGTGAAACACCAGTGCCATGCAGCCCACAGATGATAGAACACACAGCATCCATTCTGGAAACAGTCAGCATAGTGTGGTTACCCAAACATCATCCCAATGTCCTGGGAAACACACTGTACACAGAATGGCCCATGACTTTCCCTTTCCAGGAACAGTGGAGAATGACTGGTGGGAGTCAGGGGAAGGTGGTGATGACATCAGCAGCTCTGTACATTTGGAAGTCTTTGGAGCCTGAAATGGACAAGGAATGCTGTCTACACCAAAATGAGTTGGTGAGTCCTTGGGTCCCAGCCTTAAGGGACAGGAAGAGATGTCCTGAGTCTCACTCAGCTCTGGCGAAACCCTGGCAAGCATGTAATAAATAAGCACATGGCCGGCCGCACAGTTGGGTGCCTCTCCTCCCGTGCAGTTGTAAGGACCCCTGCACCTTGAGACTGGGTCTCACTTGCAGAGGATCCCGTTCTGCAGGGTTTTGTTTCTGTCAGTTATGCAGGGGGAAGTGACTGTTTGAGGAATGTGTTCCTTGCTCTTAGGGAAGGGGCTACTGTTATTGCTGCCACTGGATTTGCTTTTGCTTGGATCAAGAGCAAGCTGGATAGGTGAGGAACCAGTGCCTTGGGCCCTGACCAGGCAGTTGCAGACCAGTCGGAAAAAAGCACGCCGCATCTCCTTGCTGGCTAGTGTGTAGATGACAGGGTTCATGGCGGAGTTGAGCACTGCCAGCACAATAAACCACTTGTCTTTGAACAGGACAGCACACTCCCTCACTTTGCAGGCCACGTCAATGAGGAAGAGGATGAAAAGTGGGGACCAGCAGGCAATGAACACGCTTACCACAATCACCACGGTTCTTAGCAGGGCCATGGACCGCTCTGAGTTGTGGGGGCTGGCCACCCTGCGGCTACTGGACTTCACCAGGCAGTAGATGCGTGTATACAGGATCACAATGGCCACCAGGATGGCAGTAAAGATGCTAATGCAGAAGGCGATGTAGCTCTTGGAATAGAGGGGCAGGATGGTGGAGCAGTCAGGGAGGTTGTTCAGGCAGTTCCAGCCCAGAATGGGTAAGGCGCCCAGTGAGAATGCAATGAGCCAGCACATTCCAATCAGAAGGAAGACTCGATGCTTCTTGTTGGCATCATATGGCCTCATTTTGATCATGGTCAAGTGCCGCTCGATGGCAATGGCCAGTAAGCTACAAGTGGATGCCCCGAGGGCCACGAACATGCTGCCTTCCCTCAGGAACCAGACTGTGGGAGAGAGACTCAGTGTCTTCTTCCCTGACATCAGAATATTAACCTTGTAGGCAATACCAGCCAACAGGTCACAGAGAGCCAAGTTGCCGATGAAAAAATACATGCGGTTGTGAAATTTATTGTTTTTCCAGATGGCAATCAGAACCATCAGGTTCTCCAAGACGATTAAGCTGCAGATCACCAGGAACAGCACAGTGGTGAGGGTGCTGCCCTCAGGGGCATCCTTCAGCCGGCTGGCCAGCTTGCCCACGTAGTTGTAATGTTCATGCAGAGTCTCATTCCAAAGGAAGGTTCTGAGGCTCGGTACTAGGACCCTGGCCATCACTTGGAATTCACAGACTGTCAATTCCAAATCCACCAGAGGGCGCCTTGGGAATATGCATTTCTAATAAAGAACAGCTCAGGCTTCTGTAGTGATCCTGGACAGATCCCAGCTGGGGTGTTGAGACGCAGCTCCTGAAAAAAGAAAAAAAAGAGGAAGGGTCCAGTGATAAGATCACACCACCTAAGAGTAAGGGTGGCAGCAAAGCTGGAGAAAGGCACCAAAAATGCTGAAGCACTGGGACAGCTGGACCTTACTGACTCAGAGAGGACCTCTTAACACAGGCCAAGTTCCTAAGTGATTGAGGAGGAACTGGGAGGCAATTTGTGTTTACAGCTGCCACAAGGGAAGTGTTATCAGTTAATCTTAACTTACTACAAGAGAGCTGACAAACTGTTATTCTCAGTTACCAAGGGACACTGAGATTATCTGAAGCCGAAAATACAGGATGGACTCCAGAAGGTGCCCACCTGATTTCTGAGAGCTCTCTGGTGAGTTTTATAGTACTATCACAGGACACACTCACACTTCCCAGACTACTTCCCCTGGAACTAGTCAGGGCCAAAGACAGAAATTGGATCCAGATGGCCCATAGGTCTGCCAGGCACAGAGCTCCAACATGAGACATTGCTGCCACCTAAGGAAGGACAATATAAGGACACAGAGCAACACTGCCCTCCTGACCCCATGGCCAATTCAGCTGAGTGTGGATCTGGGGAGGAAGGAATACGAACTTGTAAAAGTGTGTAGATGTAAAAGTGGACTCAACTCCCACTGAGGTTAAAGAAAAAAAAAGAAAGCAAGGACAAGCTTTTGGACTTTGAGTTTGGCTTAAAATTCAAATGCCTGAATATTAGCTGTTACTGTCTAAACCCCCAAAACTAATTCAGTGCATGTGAGCTAAAAGAAATAAACAACTTGGAAGCACTAGTTAGACAATGAAGGTGTTGAACCCAATCACCCTGGATGACTGTGAATTTTAACCCTACCCCCACCAGACCCTGGACACACCCCACACCTTTCGTGGCCTCCTGTGATGTCCAGGGTGAAGCAGAAGGGGCTTTCAGTAGACTCACTGGCTTTAAATTTAAATTATGTGAGTATATAAATATCTAACTAAGATCAAATGAGGTTAATTTAAAACAGCCCACTGTGTGTATCCAGTGAAGTCTTTTTTTTTTGTATTTTTTAATGTTTAATTCACAACCCTAAATTTGGGTCAAGGGCAAATGGACCACTCTCCAATGATTAGGAGCTCTGAATTTTGGGGTGTGGTGGGATCTCAAGGCCTCGACTACCCACTGAGCTCATTCCCAGGTATGAAATGAGGTGCAGACAAGCTTCAGTCCCTGGAAGGACCTAGGGGTCAGCTTGGACAGATGGTCTGCAGGGGAAAAGCAGAGGAGACTCTAGCCAAGGTCCCCTGCCCACAGGACTCTCCAGGTAACTGCTTTCCTCCCCAACAGGTACTAGTCCCAGGGTCCGGTGGATGCTTCCAAACCCACCACTTCCTTTATTAGTTTGGGAGCACCTGGTCCTCTGAGATTAGGCAGCGACAACCCCACCTCTTCTTTTGAGGATATATTTTAGTGTCCCGGAGCTTCATTGTATAGGGAACCTATCTGCATGGAATGGAAAATGTAGCTCAGCCCTATGGGAAAGCCCATAGGCACATGGTGGCACATAGGAAGCCAATCCCACACCACTTCTTCTTTTGAGGATATATTTTAGTGTCCAGGAGCTTCATTGTATAGGGAACCTATCTGCATGGAATGGAAAATGTAGCTCAGCCCTATGGGAAAGCCCATAGGCACACGGTGGCACACAGGAAGCCAAACCCACAGATCGGTTCTCCCATGGGAAATCAGACCTGTATTATACCTAGGCTGCTTTGTGACCTGCTCTTTCTAAAACCCTCTCACCCTGAGTTGAGGCAGCAAATGCTTACTGCATATCTTTAAAGTAATTTCCCAAAGTCTGTGCTAATTCTCCCAAGGACTGAAGTGTAACCAGACCAATTACTTTTATTGTTCCCTTGCATTTGCAACATTTCAACTTTGTTAATCTGTAAGAAGCAATCAGTAACATCCTTTTCATTGCTATCTGTAAAAAGTAATTACCTAAAGCAATCTTAAGCATAATGAATGAAAACCTTCTTTGATGTATGCTATTTGAAAGCTGATAAAAGCCTGTCAAGGCAAAGGTTGCAGGGGCTCTCCCCTTGGGACAGTGTCCATGCCATCCTTTTTTCTCCACAGGATTCAGTCCATGTGAATTTGTCTTATCTCATCCATAGCACCACGGACACTGTGGGCCAGTGTCCACATCATCAATGTCCACTTGTTCTGGAAACCCTATGGGCCCTGGCACCTAAGCTGATGCCTATGCTTTGCCTGGAACTGCCCCTAACCCCTCCCTGCCACTCCATGACAGCTGTCTAAGGCCATGGAGGACTTGGAGGTCAGCTTGAATGTAAAGTGTGGCAGAAACTCTTCTTACCTCAAAAGGGAAGAGCAGACAGGTTCTGAGGCTGGACTAGCAATGCAGGACTGGTGGAGGCTCCTGCTGACTCTCTTCTATTGATCAGTCCTGGAGCTTCCTCCCCTGACTGTGGCACCCCCAGGCCCAGGGGAACCTTTCTGCCTTAGGCAGAAGGCAAGGCCTCCCTGCTGCCTCTAGCCCCGAACCCTCCCTAGCCCCAGAACCTCCCTAACCCCAACTTGGACTGAGGCCCATCAAAGACAACAGACCTCTGTTGATTCTTCAGAGGTGACAGTAATAGGTCACCTTGGTAAGCAGGTTTCCTATTAGCCCCCTCCTATTTTTGTCCTTCCCCCATTTTTACTTAAGTCTTGTCAGTCCCTCAAGACCAAGTCAAATTCTGCCTGCTCTGTGACATTTTCTGGAATCAGCCCAGCCCTTGGTTACTTTTCTCTGAGACTGCATACATCTTTTTAAAAACAAACTGCAATCTTTGTTTTTCAGAGTAGAAATAATAGCAGCAGCTGGCAGCCTCCAAGCCCTTTGCCTTAGAGCTTATCTAATCTTCACATTGACATCGTGATGTTCACATTTCTCATAGTACCTGGCACATTAATTAACAGGTGCCTAATAAATATGTGTGCCTTTATTACTGCTTCTCTTTGCATACTTTATCTGTGAGAAGTGAATGAGGAATCCACACCCAGCCTTGTTGGACACCATGTCCAGGAGAACTCAGCCCCAAGGGTACAACCACTGAGTGAGCGCTCAGCACCGCCCAAACAGAAGGTGCCGCCAACAACACTACAAGTGTCCTTGTTTATGGAAAAGGCCCAGGACAAAGGCAGGGAAGAGAAACATAGGTTCTGCTTCTCTGAGTCATAAAGAAGCAGGGTTCTGAGAGCAGCTCCTTTCCCAAGCTGGCCCAAGGGCCCTCCATGTGCCCCCAAACCAGGCCACCTGCTGCCATGTCCAGGTGTCCACCCCTCTGTCCACGATATCACCTCTTCTAGTTTGCCTTAAAATGCCTCTTGAGTATTTGCTTCCCCATCAGCAGTTTCCTTCCCAGGAAATGATAATGATATGTATGTGGTTAACACAATGTATTATGTCCGATAACTGACTTAGCGCCAGGGCACTCTGAGTGATAATAAATGAGTGGTGTAAAATGTATGTGAATTCCCACCCATGTAGCAGAAGTAGGAGAAGGGGCTCTAGTCATTTCCACTAGAAAGGTTTTTGAGATCACAGTACATCTTAAGCTTGTGTTCTATATCTCAGTTTACCCCATGATAACTCCATGCCATTTATGTACCTTCAATCCCCCTCTGGACATCTGAGACCCCTTTAATTGTGCCATGAAGCAGACAGAAGGGAAGTGAGTCCCTTTAAACCTGCTGGATCTGGACATCCCCAGGAGTAAGGAGCAGAGGGAAAACAGATCAATGGCTCTACAGACTGACATTTTTTTCCTTTTTCCCCTGTATATGTGGAGTTTTGTTGAAATTGAGCAAAGTAAAAAAAAACAAGCAAACAATAAAAACTAACAAGCAGCAAAATAATCACAATGAAAGCAGTATAATGTGTGTCAGATATCACTCAAAGCAATGAATTCTGAGGGTGAACATATTTTCTCATAAATGCTTGATCTATCATTTCTCTTAATTAAATATTGATTGATCAAGGAGCATAATTTTTTCTGAACATTTTTTGTTAAATGTGAGTCTCCACACTTGGCATAATTGGAAGATATACATTGTCTTTGGAATTTAAAAGCATGTTTTCTTTGGTTATCAACATTAGGAAGTAGACCGATCCTGAGAGTCAAGTGCTGGCTAAAATCCAGACTGATTTTATATAAGTCTGAACATTGCTGTGCCTGGCCAAAAGCATCTTGTGGGAGGCCAGCTATCTCACCCCACAGAGATGGGTCTTAACCCAACACCCCTGATGCTGGGCCCTCAGGTACCCTCTAGCCCCTTCTAGTCACTGTCCACTCCCAAATGGGACCACTGTCTGGACTTTTCATTCTGAGTATAGCTTGTTGCTGACCTTCATAGGAAAGGAGTCCAGCAGTATACAGTTGTGCCTAGATCTTCCTCCAGAACTGATGCCCCTGCCAGTCATGTGTATGATGTTGATTGGATGGACACACCATTTACTGTTTGTGGACATAGGGTGGTTTCTCCATGTTGTGGATGCCCAAGTCCTTGTGGAAGCACATGCCTGTATGTTTGTGGCACCACTGATTTTCGAGCCTGTTGTGTTGATACCTAGTTTGAGCTCTGATGCAGACAGTCCCTGTAGAGGTTCTCTGGGTTTGGCCTATGTCCTGCAAATGAGTGTTTGTGTGGAGCAAGAGAGGTCCCCTCAAAGGGCAAGCTTACAAATGCTCACATTTTATTTTCTTTTAGAAGATGAGAGTCTGGGGCTGGCAATGACACTGCATAAGTTTGATCACTGCCTAAATTCCACCTCAACACTTAAAGCCCAGTGCTGAGAAATGTATGCCAGCTAGTCTTGTACATCCTCAGAAAGCTAGGTCATATTGTAATAGATACACAGGCTCGTTGGCAGTGGTCTTTCAACAAACCCAGATTCTGACAGTGCTGTGCCCTGGAGCAGGCCTGGCTGATATCCATCCATAGATCCTGGGCCTTTTCAGGTCCCTCCCTTCCCTGCATCTCACCTGAAGGAGGTACACCACCTGGTCCTGAGTTCCTCTTAGATCTACTAAACTGAGATGGTTCCTAAGGGTTCTCACTTCATCCTCATAAGCTGGGACCTTCCAGTTTACCTCCAGGCATTACACCAACCCTTTTTCTTTTTACAGAGAAGGAATAAAACAGTTTCTAGAAGGTGTTCCAAGGTGTGTCACCCCAGGTTAGGCCTTGTCAAACTAGGGTGCTCCCCTTCCCTTCATTCCAAGGAGGTACATCCTCAGGGATGGAAGGAGGGGAGAGCCCTGGACTACTGATGAATTCCAGATGTACTTTCTATGCTAGCAATTCACTTTCTCAACACATGTCAATTTGAAAAATAAACAAACTATAAAAAGAAGAAAAAGAAAAAAGTAAAGGAAAATATTTCCACAAAGTCTGGGATCTCTCATGGCAAAAAAAGAAAAGCACAATAAAATAGTGAGAAATTTCTCTTGGTCTAATGCAAGATGCATTATTTTTAAAAGGCATTTTCTCCAAGGGAAATTAATTAGCTTATCCTCCAAAATAAATTAAAACACCAAGCATTTGACAATTTCTTAGAAATCAAGATTTTTTTCTCCCAAAAGAAAATAATGAATTGACCATTTCATGGCCCCAGAAAAATTCCTTTTCTAGTGAGTACTTTTCCTCACTCTGGATTTCTTAGGTGATCCCTCTCTGCTTTCAGAGATAGTTCACAGCAAGAGACTTCACACATACACACACACTGTCTTGCTCACTTATACTTTGCTGTAGGCCTATAATGGAGCTTCTGGTGAGAAAACCACTGCTATACATGAACCAGGTGAAGATTTAATGTTCAAGTGCTCATTCCATGTGCTTGTCCATAGTAAGGCAATTGCTTTTGATGCAAGAGGATTTACCCTTTTTGCATCTCAACCAAACTTTCCCTTCCCTGCTTGCTCTGAGAAAGGGCACAGGATTGAATTCCTACCAAGATTGTCACAGGACCAATGGGGGTGTGGAACTGAGCACCTCAAGGCAACTAAAGGCATATGCAGTCAAGAGGTGTTCTGCCCATGAAGTCCTAAAATTGGGGTCCCTCCCATCCTTTCCCAAAGCAGTGCTCTCACTTGGTGACAGGGCATGTGCACCACACATTGCACCTTACAGGGACCACATCTGGTCCCCGATCTGCCTTCTGAATGTACACAGGAGGAAACAGATGTTGGTAGGGAGGTAACTCTCCTTAGGGGCACAGCTTGGAAGAGACCAAACTGGGCTGGATGTCTGTGCCCAGTAGATCATATTAATGGTATACTTTTTTGGGGGTGACCACCTTCCCTCCTATTCTTCATCTTGATGGTGACAAGAGCATCTCCAGCATCCTTTTAAGCTAAATTGCCTCTAAATACTATTATAACAAAATCCTGGAATGGAAGATTTACTGAAATACGTGGAAAACTCTGCTTCTAAGGAAATGGAGTATCATTGTCAAGGCCAAAGAACATTATCAGTGGACAAGGTCTCCCACTCCAGCTCACAGTGCTGATGGGATGCCAGAGCCACCCACCAGGTGTCACATTCTCCACCAAGTAATCTTGTCACTGATTTAACATGACTGGCCTGTTGTCTGTGCTCTTATAGATACAGCTTCAAGTCCTCAAAATAGAATAATACCAACACAAAACAAAAGCAATGACTTTATGTCCAGTCACTGTGACAATATTTGAAATAAATGTGTTATTTATTGACACTAGATAGGATTCCACTCAGTATATCATATTATCTCCAAAAGCTTATGGAAAATATCTTAAGGCAATTAATTACTTCAACAGAAAATATATGGCAAAGGAAAACCATGAAATAACTCCAAAACTGATGAAAGAATTATGAAGTCAAATATGAGGAAATGGGCTTCCGCAGGCCACAGCACTATATTATGTTCTGGCTCACACAGCAGACTGCCTGAGGTGCCTCATCAGCAGTGTCAGCATTCAAATTATAGTCCTAAATCCTAGCAGACAAAATTTCTACAAGACGGCAACCCCCAAATTCTCAAGATTATGAAGTGTTCAAATTCCTATTTTCTTGTAATAAAAATATATGTACACATTGTAGATACTGAATCATCTTTAGCAGAGATAACATAACATCTGAAGTGTGTCATAATTTCTAGAGAAAGGGAAATCAGTTTCTGCCTTTCAAGAAATAAGGCCACTAGCAATTAGTAAGGCTCCATTCATAGGAAAATGTGTTTCTACTCTCCACACTATAAGCTTAGAAGAGTCATGCACATAAAGAAATTCACAAACATTAAGAGGAAGGTGGCATTTTCAAAGATGAAAACTGGATAAGAAATCATTGGGTCTGTATCTTAGGGGATGCTCTTAAGGGCTAACTTTGTATTTTAGATCTCCAGGTCAGGTGACAAGTGCAGTTGGATGAGCAGGACCAGTGTAAACATTAGCTGACTGAGAAAACCGAATGTGTGCTCTTCTATGACAACAAAAATTATTCATACTGGCTTCGAGCTCTGCATCAACTAAGTGGGAAATTGTACAGCTCCTGGCACTTCCACAGCTCCTTGAGCACCACAAACACACACACCACCACCATCACCACTACCACCATCACCACCATCATCATCAGCACTACCACCATCACTACCATCATCACCACCTCCTATACCAAGACCAGCCACCAGCATGGCCATCTTTTGTTAGTCACAGACCTGCAGAATCTAATCCTACCCTTGCACTTTGTAAGAATTACATTTTTCTTAATCATTCCTGCAAGATTTTCATCAGTGAAAAAAAGAATGCTGAAGAGATAAAGTTGAACATGTGATTAGATACAACCTCCAATGTCCAGAAATTCTTGATTCTGGAAGCACTCAGAGCTCCAGCTGGGAAAGATACTATGTGCAGGGTGGCCTTTTCATTTTTCAAATAATCTTCCAAAAGAGCCTTGCTGCTGTTCTTCCTCTATCCCCAAAACAAATTGTGTTATTCTAAAAAATTCTAACAAGAAGTCCCTCTCTTACATCTAAATATAAAAATACCTCAAAGAAATATGTCATTGGGAGTGTCCAATGCCAGAAAGAGAACGAGGGAGGGAGACACACAGAGAGAGGGAGAGCGCGACTATTGGAGACTTAAAAGTGGCAAAAGTGGAGGGTAAAAGTGGCAAAGCTCGCAGTGCGCTCTGTGTCGCCAGAGAAAGGCTTGCTGGGCACCTTCCCATCTCCCCCTGCCCCGCCCTGGGCCCCTGCCCCCTCCGCCTAGGCTTCATCTCAATTAGGAATGCAGCGTACTGACTTTCCGTGGGAGCCTCATTATTGTACCGGGACTTTACCTTCAGCTCCGATTCTGACAGCCCTGATCTCCTTGTTTGAGAAATAAAAAGAAAAGTGGCATTTTGTGCTAAATATAACTCTAAAAAATGATTTTACCGGGAGAATGACCACAAACACACATTCCAAGAGGCCCCAGGTCTTCATCCTGGGAGGCCGCCTAACTTTTTAATTGTCCAAGTTAAATGACGAATGGGACTCCAAGAAAATCCATTTCTTTCATTCAGGTTATTTATTGAGAAGCAGCTGAGTTTAAAGGCTCCAACAGTAGTTTAAAGGGAAGAGCCCCTTCCCCCTCCCGAGGCTCAGTCACCGGAATGGATGGCTTTGGGAAGGGGGTGATGCTCTAGTGCTGGGCTCGCTGCCCAGGTCACAGGCTCGCACGGCATTGACTGGAATTTCATGACAGAAGTGGGCCCAGCTGCTCCCAACCACCCCCGAGTCCGTGTCCCGGGCCCCGCCGGCTCACCTCTGTCTGGGAAAGGCATTTGGGCTACCAGCACCCTGGAGCCCGTTCCTCCGCTCAGATGCAAGCTGGGCTGGGACACTGGGATAGTCTTGAGGCTCAGAGGGTCGTACCCGGACTTGGGGGTCTCGCTTGAGCTCGTCCTGCCGCCACATTCAGCTCCGGGTCCCTATAGAGTGTCCCTGAGACCCGCTTCCTCAGCTTCTGTCGGCTGAGCCAGGTCTCAAACTTTTCCCGAGTGCCCGGGGGGCGGGCCCGCGCTCCGCATCCCCGCCCACAGTCCCCACCTCCCGGCTTCCACCTCCCTCTCCCTGCGCTGTGGGGAGTCTCCATTCCCTCTCCCCATTTCCCCACCCGCAGACCCCCACTTCCCAGCGCCAGATCTCTGTCTCCCCAACCCACCCCCGCTCGCCCCTATACCCCTTCGTCACACACCCCGCCTTCTGGCTCCCGCCACCATCTCCCGGCCCCTCTTGCCCCCACCTCCCCGCCTCCCCGCCTCCTCCCCTCCGCAGTTCTCCGGGGGCCTGCTGGCCACCCGTCTGGGCCCCACGCCAACCTCCAGACCCCGAGCCCCTCACGCTAGCTCCAGGCGCCGACCCCGGGACCCAAAGACTCATCCAGGACAGGTCAGAACTCAGTCCGGGGCTGGGATTGGCCCGGGGCCACTGAGGGCTAGAGTTTGGTCCGGTTATTACCATCACAATCATTACTATCATTGCGATGAAGATCGTGTCCGTTTGAAACTGACTGACCTTGGCTTGTAGGGCAGCGCCTAGAAGACTTGGCCTAGCTCTGGCTGCTTGCCACCCCTGCCGAGCCCCCAGCACATAGGCCAGCTCCTCGGGCCAAAGTGCTCCGCAGGGCTGACCTCACCCTGGACCCGCTGGCGGAAAAGCCGGGTAACCCGCGGCAGGCGATTTTAGAGACCCCTCCGCCCCACGCACAGATTCGTCTCTTTTGTGATTAAGTAAGATGCTCCGTGAGAAGCACGTCTTAAAGAAGAATCCCCAAGGAGACGACTACCTAAATCTTCCATCGAAACGGACAGTGAAGGCCCTGGAGAGAGCGAGCACAGCAGTCTACCCTAGGGTATCTGGTGACAGCGGGTGGAAGGTAGCCTGGCGGGGAAGGAGAGAGGACAGAAGAAGGAATCAGGAGGCCCGTTATCCAACGCAAGTCTGTACATTCCTGAGCAGACAAGATTGGAGCGGCAGAGCGATGTGGGGAATCTTCAGGAAGGGTCTCCTTCATGTGACCTCTTGCCTCCAGAGGAGGAACCCGGAGCTACCTTTCCACAGAGCTGGGAGCAGATTCTTATTTGGAGTGGGTTTGAGCCTTGATGGGTACCTGCCATACAGTGGCAACAAAGTTCAGGCTGCTGGCACTTCTGCTGGCCTTCTCTGTTGCCCTGGGAATACTGGGCTTGCGCGGGGACGGCTCAAAGCTCTGGCCTGCCCTTGGGGCTCAGTGGAAGGTGGCTGCTACCTGTCCCTGTTGTCCTTAATCTTCTAACCTGCTTGTGCTGCTGCGAGGCCCCTGAGCCTCTGGCCTTCCAAACTGACTCAGAGTGTCATGTACAAGGTCTGGGAAGCCATTCCTTTCCCACATTGCAGGTACCACCGAATGTGTTTCCATTTTCCACTTCTACAGCATCAAATCAAGAAAAAGAGAGGATGGACTGTGCTTCTTGGGCCACTTGCCATCACCAGGGCAACTGTGTCTGCAGATTCCAAAAGCCCTAAAAAATAATAGGGCTCCTAACTATAGGTGTCCAAGGGAGACACAGGACTTCACATACAGTGGCATTCTTGCAACTCTTTTGGCAAGGCTCCTTTTCCTCCAAGATTCCTGGTACTAGAAATAGCTCTCCCCCCGCACACAGTCCAGTCCTCTCACTGACCTACTGTCCCTCCCCCACTCACTCCCTGATGCCTGGCTTTAAAACTGAGAGGCTGGATCCTGAGGGGCTCCTCCATGCTCCCACACAGCCCCTAGAGAGCATATTCTCTCACTGCTTCTCAGAAGAAAACCAGACCTCTCCCCAAGAGTCTGTGAATACAAGTCTCCACCTCTGTACCCCTGGTTACCAGGACAGGATCTTTATAGAAGAATATCAACTCATAAATGTAGACAGAACAGGAGAATTAGCAAGTTCTCCTCCTGTATCACTTGGGGAGGTAATTGAATCAGACAAAGTGATTTAATGTACCCAGAGGTGGAAGTGTGGAGAAATGGCTAACTGTACAGTGTTAACTGGTGAAGGAAAACATTTCTCATTTTCAGTGGTGACACCTGGCTTCCAGCACCTTGCAGGGATCAAGCTTAGCATCATGCATGCTGGACCAACCTGACAGCAAGGATAATACGGAATCTAGTATACAATAGCACCAGTGCTGTGTTCTTGCTAAAAACACTTAACTTGAATCAGAAGTCCAGTGTGGAGTCTGCACTTCCAGTTTACAGGATGGTGAGCAACAAGGTAAATGACACCAGGGAAAAGCAATCAGACAAGTCCTGAGAGCAGCCATGCTGTAGCCAACTGGCATGCTCTCCTAAAAATAATCTGTGTCAGAAAAAGGGTGAGAATGGTTCTAGTGCAAAAACAGTTAAAATGATGAAACATTTATAACAACAAGCATGGAACCTGAGTTACTCCTGGGTCAACTGACCATCACAGAAGACATTTTGGAGGACATTTCAATAAGGTGGAGTATTGAATGATATTGTAGAATGATTGTTAATGTTATTAGGTGTGAAAATAGCACAATGCTGCTCTAGGAGAATAGCCTTATTTTTAGGATATTCATGCTAACCTGTTAAAGGGTGAAGTGTATGAATGTCTGAAACTTGTTTTTAATCATTCTGCAAAAACAATATATACACATGAAGCTGATATGACAAAATGTTAGCAATCTAGGTGGTGGATATGGGGGGATTATTTTTTCATAATAAAAGTTGGAGAAAACTAAAGTGGCAGGTGCTAAATAACTTAAAAAAACTTCCTCACCTCTGTATGCAGGCTATCAAGTTAAATCTAGGCATGTGGGAATAAAATCATGATAGTATGATTTAGATCTGTGTACTTTTGGAAACCACATGGCCCCAAATTTGAATATCATTTGAACAAATATATTACATACTTACTTGTAATTTTTAAAAGGAAAATACATTCACTTCCCAACACTAGCACCTGCAGTCTGGCAAACAGGTGCAGTGTGATTAAAGGACATCAAGTTGTAAGATTCTAACCACCAGTGAACTTCTCCCTGCAGAGCTGGGGCATTGCAGAAGTGGATTGCAGAAGCTGAGTAGCTGGGAAGGCCAGACCCTTTCACCTATAAATGCACCTATTTTCTCCCCATTCTCCTCCCTCCAAGTCTCTGCCTCCTGCATCCAGATGCTTTTTGCAGTCCCCAAGTCAGAATTAATCTGCACTGTGCCTGTTCTTAGCTCAGTCTTAGCTCTTATCTTGACTATAAAAAATGTCTTATCAACATTTTTTTTAATTTCCTGGGGCTGCTCTTCAGGTGTGCCCTCAGGCAATGTGGTATGAGCTCATATATGTGGAGGACCCTGTAGTGGGAACTCTGGGCAGGATCAGGGTCAGATGAGTGGGCCGCAGGGAAGAGTATCTGATAGAAAAAAGACCTCAGGAGCCCTGGGCAATGTTGAGGACCAAGGTTGTAGTTCTCTGACAGATTGCCATGAGTGAAGTCATTTACACAGTGCTGGCGAGAAATAACTTTAAAACATTGATCTGAATATGGACTTGCAAAAAGAAACTTGGCCTTTTGTATTGTACAATAACCCTGTCTGGACTCAAATGAAACCTCTGGCTCACTGCCAGAACTCTTTCACAATAAATATTCATTTGTTGACAGGGACACCAACCACAGATGAACTTCACAACTTTAATTGTGACTTTCACAATTACTACATCTCCTGTAACCATCTTTATGCCTCATGCACCCCCTTTCTCTACCTTTAATAGCAGCCAGGAATGAAGAGAGATCCCAAGAATTGTTCTATTTACACTTTATATTTTATAAGGATGTTTATAAAACATTCAGACACCTAACCAGTGTGTGTATGTTCATGTAACTGTGTAATTGTGTATATGTGTGCTTGTGTATGCCTGTGCAGAAGCATATACATGTGTGTGCACATATGCACACATGTAGATATGCACATATGCACACATGTGGATATGAACATGTGTGTGCTTATGGGAGTGTTTGGGTGTGCATGTGTGCTCTTCACAGGGACTATACTTTTGTGAGGGAAGTAATGTGTCCAACCCTCCATGGAATGTGAGCACCTGGACCCTGTGGTATAAGACAAAATAAATGTTTGCCTTCTGTTCCTGGCTCTTGGCCTAGACCTCCTAAAATTATTGAATTTATTGTCTTTTTTTATAGGGGTGGGTAGGGTGGCAAATAGCTACAGGATTGGGGCAGGAGGGGAGAGAGATTGGAGATGGAGTTAATCACCAATGGATCAATGATGCCTACATAATGAAACCTCCACAGAAACTCCTAAGCCACAGAATTTGAAGAGATTCCAGGATGGTGAACTTGTCTATGTGCTAGAGGATGACAGACCCAGATAGGAAGCTTGGTGCCCTTTCTTCCCCTACCTTGTTTTAAGCATCTCTCCCATTTGACAGTTCCCAGATTGTATCCTTTATGATAAACTAGTAACATAAGTAAAGTGTTTCCCTGGGTTCTGTGAATTGTTCTAGCAAATGACCAAACCTAAGGAGGATGTAGGAACCTCTGAGATTGTAGTTGGCTGGACAGAAGATCCAGTGGGAGCAGACTGACAGGAAAATGTGAACTCAGCCTGGGGAGGGGGCAAGGGTCTAGCGTGTTTGTGGGTGTGTGCACATGTGTGCATTTCAGTAGAAACCTGCATATTTTGAAAGCAAGAGGAGAAAGAATGGGCTAGCATCCTTGATTCTCTCCATTGTTTTGAAGGAGGAGAGTTGTCCAAGGGCTTAGAGTGATGCCTGCATCTGAATCCCACAAACTGGATAGTTCAGTCTGCAGCAGCCCTGATGCTTTAAGTTAAATTAGTCCAAAAATATGCCTGCCTTGACAGATGCCATGCCAGGAAAACTGATGTGGGCTGACTTGCCAGAGCAGGAATCTCTGTTTATGGAAGACTGCTTATACATACCGTCTATGGTGTAATTAAACA